TAACGAAAATTTTAAGCAAACCAATCAGAAGTACTAAGAGGGAAAGGGGGAAGAGTGGTGTAAAGGGATCAAATGGGTCGGATTCTAGTCTTACTTGGTGACCAGAGAAAGGTGGGTGAAGGGTGGAGGGGGAAGGGGTTCGACAATTAGTTCATATCGTCCCGTCGTCCTCGCCTCGAGTTTCATTGGGAGGTGTGAGGACGCAAGGTGTCAACGTCTTGTGACGGCGTTGGTAGCCTGATGGTGCTTGATGCCGCAGTCTCATCAATGTTTCACGGCGTGGTAAGAGGCGTGGGGGCGGATGTTAAAACGGCCTTCGGTCACGGGAGCCTTAAGACCGTTGTTGTCGTCTGTATTCTGTAGTCAGACTCAGACCACTAGCACTACGAATCGCTTGACAAAGTACCACACCGCTGCCATCTTTACAGTTTACACGACTCATGTGCAAACTATGATTTTCAAATAAGGAGCCAAATGTTAGTATGTTGAGCAGGCTCCGTTTACCATTTTAAACGGCAGTGAAACCGTATTCAGTAATAGTAGTTTTTGAAGTCATATTTACCACAAAAATATCTACTTGTTGTTGTTGGAGCGAAATTACTGCACACAGCCCCCTCTTTAAATATTGCAAAGTCTAGCCGATAGAACAAAACGTATAGGAATTCACTGATGACATTCCTGCATTGTGTGTATTTAAGAAGCGAAACACAGAAGGCGAAATAAAGTGAAAATTAAAAAAAAAGCGTTGACTACAACCACTGGCTACAATTTCGCCTTATGAGTCTAGTATAAGAGGAAGATCTTCGAAAAATCGACTTGTACTCGTGAATTTGCGAACAGGTATCACTTGTTCGTCGTCAGACTAAATGAAAAGTGAGGGCTGGGAATGTGGCACTATAGGTTTTGGGGGGAGAGATTACAACGAACTGAGACGGGGTTGGGGGAGTGTAACGGTGAAGTGAATTCTGCGGCGATAGATTGTGCAGGTAAGGGGGCAGGTTTTAACGTGTGGATTTTAGGCCACGTGTTCCGCTGGGTCGAGTATATTTAATACCGTCCTTGGTGGTAAGGTTTTGCGAAAAAATGTGATGCGTAATTTTGCAGTCTTAGTCTACATCATGTAAAACCTTCAGAAATACAACATTCTTTTTTAAACGATTCTTTGCGAAATAATGGCATTATCACGTGGGCATGAGAAACGACTGTTGCAGATACGGATCTGCTACCGCTCTCTGATTATGTTTCTGATGAAGAATCCGCGACGGGTCTCGAAACGTCATGCGAATAAGAGTATTGTCCCAGCGATCGAGTCATCTTCTTCTCAAAAGGACTGTTTGTGTGTGATGACTGCATTTCTAATCTTTCGCAGGACACCATATAACACCATTTCCAAGATCTACAAGGAAACGCAGAACAATGGCCTCATTGTTGTTGAAATTGCAGTTAAAACTGCATGCTGACACATTTTTATTCGTTAAGCTGCCTCGGGGATATCAAGAATGGATTAAACTCCATATTAAATGAGTGCGTGCTGTGTGGTGTATTACATGTCATAACTGTCCTTTTTCGTACTCAGAGCACGTAAAAACCCTGCCAATATTGCATCTGTACGAAAACAGGCTGACTAAGCGATGGGGTCGAAAAAAGTCGCGTGTAATTGCCAGGAACTTTAAAATCAGTCATGAACGTAAATTCGTACTTATACTTAAATGTTCAAGTCGGCACCTAGACCATCTACAATTTAATTAAATCGGTGCTGCTGATGTAAATTCCATTTAAAGGCATATCACCTTTTAACCGTACATAGAGTATTGTGTATTCAGATTCAAACCCGTAGCACTACGAATCGTTCGGCAAATGTGCCACACTGCTGTGTTCTTTAGAGGTAATAGTATGCGCTCTGATAAAAGACTCATGTGCAAACTAGAATTCGCACAAAAAAGGGACCATACGTTCCTGTGTTGAGCAGGCTCCGTATGGTTTTACACCGCTTCAAACGGCATTGAAGCGTTATTTAGTAATATTGATAAAGTCAAATATTCTGTTAAAAATAACTACATTTCTTTGGGGGTAAAGTCACTTAATACAGTCTTCTTTATCAGTCGCAAGCATAGTAAAGTGTAGTTGATAGAACATAACATAAAGATAGTCATTTTTGAAATTAATGTCTGGTTTGCATTTAAGAAGCGAAAAATGTAAGAAAGAGGTGAGTTGAAAATTAAAAAGGCTTTGACTACAACCGTGGGCTAAAATTTAGCCTTAATCTGATTACGGGAAATTGGTCTACTATATTTAATACGTTCCTCGGTAATAAGGTTTTATGAAACAAAATGCGATCCCCAATTTTGTAGGCTTGTTCTGCATGGTGTCCATCATGAACAACCTTCAGAAACATAAAACCCTCGCTTAATGATCTTCTACGATATAATGGCATTACCGTGAGGACATATGAAAATGAATGTAATGTGCTTAGGATTGAAAGTTAGGGTATCGAATAATTATTGCGAACGTGTCTGAAAAGGCGCACTAAGCAACTGTACCTTGTGTCTGACACCAATCTTATTTTAAGCGACTGTCCACCGTTTTAAAAAGTTCATGCAAATCAAAAATCAACCTAACAATTTATGCGTGCACTGATGCGCACTTCTAATTAACCAGAAATGTTTTCCTTCAAAATATATTGCCATTTATCGAAAATTTAATCACTTCGTTTAGTTATTGGCCTGCCCTCCTTTTGCTGGCTTTGCCTGGCCGTTTTGTCTTTCTCAGATTAAAACTGATAAATCAGTCAATTTCAAAAGTTACTTTGGGCAACAAATAGCGGGAGTTGTCACTTTGCCGATGTCTTTTTTTAAAACCTCTAAAATGTGATGAAGACATGCGATGAAATTGACTTTCTTCACTGCATTTTAAATTATGAAACAAATAATAGATTTAAACGTTTTTGCAACAAACAGTGAATTTAGCCTGATATTTTCAGCCTATCAGTAAAATAACAGGCTAGATTTGACCTACTGAATTAGAAAACAGTTTTATATTTATCCTAAGTTGCCAGAAAACTATAAGGTGTATTCTTTTTTCTGTTTTATTTGGTAATTTTGTCGTTTGTGGGAACATGCTTTAATTTATTTGTAATCAAGAAACTACAAATTAAGAAAGCTTTCCCCTGTTATAATGCCCAAAGTTAATATTATAAAATTGGAAAACTCGGTCGACAAGGTTTTTCAAACCTACTTAGCTGCAGAAAAATTATTATGTTATGTTTATAAATGGTACCGTGTCTGAACTATCTAGAACAAATTTGTCTTCTATGATAGTGGATTATAAATAGCAAAAAGACAAAGAAAGGTGCTGAAAAAAAAGATGTGCGAAAGCAAAATCTGCATAACAATACTAGTGAACACTAGTCATTTCCTATGTCGGATCGCAAAAATATAAGCCTTGCTGGGTGTTTTGCTCGTTGAGATTTAATCATATAATGCAAAATGATTTTGTCATATGATGACTTTCCAATGGATTGCGGCTGTATCATTCAAATGCTGTGTTTATTTTTACCCAAGAGCTTGATTGTTTTTTCTTTCAGATATTTTCCGTCTCCAGCTTCGTGTTTCAGTTCGTAATTCCCTGTGTCGTCATATCTTTCTGTTATTTTCACGTCAGTCGGCTGTTATGGATTCGCCGAAACCATAAAATTGGTTCTGCTTTGAGAAGTGCTCAGAAGGAGGAGGCCGAAAACC